CCCTGGAACTCAGATGGGCACCCTTTCACACGGTTCGGTACCCGCACTACGTTAAAAGAACAAACAATAAGAATGGACTGTTGAGCACCTCATGCTTACCTCTCAGGACCAGAAAAACGTAAAAATTTAGAAAATTCCTTCATTTTGATGGCTTTCTTTGTGGCCTTGCGTGGTTTGCGGTCCCTCGCGTCAGCAACGTCCATAACGTTCATATCATTTAGTGTGGGTATCAAACCGTGTGAAGGTGTGCCCGTCTGAGTGCCCAGAGGCCCCAAGATACATCACTATTGATAGATTTTCGAAAAAATCCACAATTTGATGCCCCTGGGAGGTAGGCAAATTGCACTCGGCATCCCAATTCTGTTCATGGGGCTTGCCTTGTGGTGAGGGCACGCCGATATGCTGACAGGGTGGACTTGGAGTGGCTGTAGCGGCCTACAAAATGAAACTATTGCCATTTTGGGCCGAAATTTAGTCATTTTTTGCCCCTGAAAGTTAGACAAACCAAAAAGAGGGTTAGGCTTTTTTTTTCGTAATAAGCATTCAAAAACGAACAAATCCCCGTTTCGTTTTTGAAAATCGGTCAAAAAATGACAAAGTTACAAGTTTTTCCTATTTATAGCACTGCCAAAAACTTTGAGGGCTCTGCGGAGGTCCTAAAAATCATTTTTTCGAAAAAGGAAGAAACACGTATTTCATATTTTTCGATGTAGAATCCAAATCCGGGCGGCGTTGGACGATCCGAGCAACTTCACTTTTTTTTGGACCACCCTACGCCCGGGCCACTGACGCCGCCACCCGGGCCCTGGCGGACTGGTCCGCCTCCATGGGCAGGTACGGCGTCCAACCTACGGGGTACTGGCGCCGCTACGAGCGACGGCGCCGGCGAGTACCCCGTCACCGCCTCTGGGACCGCTGCCCCACTGGTGAAACAAAGGCATAAAAATTATGCCCTTTAAGGGCGTAAACGATTTAAGGGCATAAAGGGCATAAATCGTTAATGCCTTTGGGAAGGGCATTAACATTTTGCTTGAAATTCCTATACCATTTACGCCCTTCCCAAGGGCATAAAACGATTTATGCCCTTGCAAGGGCGTAAAAGAGTATTTATGCCCTAAAGGGCGTAATTTTTATGCCTTTGTTTTACCAGTGCCCTTCCGGGGCCGCCACCACCGACTTCGACTTCGGCTCCGACTTCGTTTTCTTTTGAGAATCAATAAATGTTCACCTCGGGGCACAAGGTTTTCAAAGCCGGGGGGAGGGGCGTGTCGCGCCGGTACGTGGCCCACGGTGACAACCCTGGCCTACCTACCGGGCGCGACGCCTCGGCCGGGTCTGTTGGTGTTACACAGCCGTGTTAACACCAACATCCCGGGCCGAGGCGGGTATATAACAGCCCACGGCCCTCCTCTCGACACAGTCCGAAACCGCGTGTCTCCAGGGGTGGACTTACTGTCGCACAACCCTTGTGTAGTCATTTACCCTATCCGACACCACCCCGGAGTACGACATAGCAGACCAAGCAGTCGCCAAGCTTGGTCGAGCTTGGTCTGCTTGGCGGACGCCCTCCGGGCAACCAGCGCCGGCTCAGCACTGCCGACCTCGGACACCGGCACAGACACGGGCGGTTTTTTCCTCGAGGACGCCGCTCCCGTGGCCCAGCTGGAACCGGCGCTCCCTAAGGCTGAGGATGCGAACACTCTTCCTGACCCAGCGAAGGGGGCCGGGGTCGCCTCCGACGACGTCGGCAACGACGACGGGCAACCATGGTCGGTCCCCGTCTAGAAGATTGCTGACGACACACCGCCCCCCCCCCCCCCCCCCCCTCGTCCCAGCGGAGGGAGCGGCGCCGCGGCGGTATAAAATGGGCCGGGCCACGAGGGGCTAGCACCAGTTACGCCCATCCACCCTTTCCCGCTAACGTCACCATCTACGAAGACGGATCCACCATGAAGCTCCTTGCGGAACACACCTGCGCCATCAACAGACTCGAGGCACAGCGCCGGAGCCGCATGGAGGCCATCATCGCCCAGCTCGCCGTGCATCCCCGCCAGGTCATGGACAGGGAGACAGCTGCAGAATTGGTGGCCGAGATTCGCCCCGCAGACACTCTACCAAAAATGTCCTGTAAATGCCGTTAATTTATTACCAGTTTTCACTGTATGTCAATTCACAGCGTTTACTGTGATCTGCTCACGGGATTCACTGTGATCTTGTTCGCGGTGTTCACTGTGATCTGGTCCCCAGTAAACACTGTGAGTTTGACGCCGCTGAGCACCGAAGTACTGCAAATCAGGCTCCAATTCACGGCGTTTACTGTGGCCAGATCACAGTGAACACTGTAACCGAGATCACAGTGAACGCCGTGAACTAGTTCACAGCAGGGGGCGGTAACACCCTAAAGCGGCAGTGAGGCGAAGCTCTCGCTCCGATCTTGCTCCGTGCAGGGGTCAAGGACTTCTTCGAGATTATTCAAACTAGGCTATTGTTTGCAAATCGCTTTGCACATATCGAAAGAGCATCACATAAAGGGTGCATTAGACTCATTGGCAATCCCTTACCTGCTACTTCAGCCCTCGAAAAATCAAAGTGAAAACACCGAAAAATACAATAAGTCTAATAATTAAGGAAAAAACCTCGGGGGCGCCATCTTTGTATAAACATTTCCGCGATTTTCTCTTTTGTACGAAGTAAAATTGGGAGTTTGGGGAAGGTCAATGCGTCTAATGCACCCTAAATTTTATGCTCTTTCGATCTGTGCGAAGCATTCTGAAAACAATGGCCTAGTTTTAATAATCTCGAAGAAGTCCGTAACCCCTGCACGAAGCGAGAGCTTCGCCTCACTCCTGCTCTATGGTGTTACCGCCCCCTGTTCACAGCAAACGCCGTGAATTGCATAACAGCAAACATTGGTAATAAATTAACGGCGTTGACAGGACATTTTTTGTAGAGTGGAGCCCCGCCAGGTAGCAGCACCGTCGGTGCCAGATTGTGGTTGACACTGGCTGCACTTGCTCTCGCGACGCGTCTGTGGCCTGTTTGGTCTGTCTAGGCGGTGCACAGTGCGTCGTAATTTTGAGAATAGTAGCATAAATTTAGACGATCAGTGCGGGTCAGGCATCGCGGATGTGGTATGTGGTGTGTCTGAGTGGCACTCATCCCGGTAAAACTTATTTCCAAACGTTGCATCGAAAATACGCCGGCTGGTTTATCGGGACGCGCTCCGACGTTCTTTCATGAAATCTAATATTATTGAGAGTTTATGCTAACTAGACAGCATATACTCGCAATCCGACGTAACATTTCACGTAGAATCAATTGATGTGGTCGGTTTTTGCAAATTGTTGCAGGATGTCAAGAATAAA